ATTTAGTGACATCCAGCAGGATGTCAAACCTGCTTGGGGGCAGGTTTGAGGTCCTTTTTGCTTTTACTTTAAGGCAGAGCAACCTCATACTCAGCAGAGGGCATGTTCCGTATCTACTAACACAGGGCATACTTGCAGCTATGAAGACCTCCAGCATCTTCCATAGCCTTCCACGCAGACTAATTCAGCAAAGCCAATTAACAGTGGTTAAATCATTAGCTAACAGCTCAGAGGAAAAGACAAGGCAGTTAAGGAAAGCTGAAAGGATGATTCAACATACAATATCTGCAGTGTACTGTGCCACTCAACGCTGCTAATTCCTGCTGACAGAGAAAGAATTGGTGAAGATGAATCCAGAACTGAAGTAACCTCTAAGGCTTCACAAGCATGGCTTATTTTTTTTCCCCAAAAACCATTTTACATTCCAGTCAAATACCTTCCCTTCTGTCCCGTTCATCCAGGTGTGCAGCCAGCATTACACTGCGAGCCAGACGCAGCTCACGCCCTGACCCAGCACCCAGCAGAATGGGACCAGGCCTGCCCTTACTGTGACCATCGCCCCCTCATTGTGACACGCTGGGTGTCACCAAGGAGCGGGGCCCAGCACCCCATCGGTAGGTACGTCACAGCAGTCTGCACTCTAATTTTTCCCATAACAGCCAGATTCAAAAACAAGCCGTCGGATGGATGGATTGCTGGATTATTCTCAGTGCTTCGACAACTGCCCCCTGGAGTCTGAGAGATGTTAGCAGCGCTTACACCAAGTGAAGTAAAACCAGCTGGCTTCAGAAGATTCGAGCACCCAAAATAACAGTAAAAACCAAACTGGTGGTTTGTGAGCTTCTTTTCTTTAGACCTTCCTGGCTCCCTGAATTACGAACAGGGGGCAACTTCAGCTTAACAGCAGTTTAAGAGTAAACGTTTAGGAAGTGGCAGATGCATGCTCAATTACAACATGTTTGAAGTAGGTCTCCAGATCAAAAGGAAAGAAATGTTACACAAAAAGAGGAGAGAGTTGATCTAAAGCTGCAATTAAGAACACAAACTCAAGGGAAAGAGTTGTTTGAGCTGGTAGGGGAAACATTATACACAGAATTAAGATCAGTGTTATAGTTTTAGAAATGAAGAAAGCAAGCCAGATAAGAAGCAGCACATAATAATCGAGTATTTACACAGCTGTAAAACATCTACCAGGAGAATTGCAAGTACATGTGTCTGGAGTCGTGGCAGGGGAAATCTTCTCCACCTGATCCTGCACAGCAATTTGCTTTATTGCCTGGTTGCTCTTGGTTCCTACAAGAACACCAGGAAAGGTTCATCGATTTAAGCGGTGTCAATCTGAAATGAGTAAAATAACTACCTAAACTGCCAGTTTATATAAAAACACGTGTGCATGCACCAGTAAGGCTCATGAAGCTTAACAGAGGAAACTATTAACTTAAAACCTAAAACAAAGAAATGGAGAAGTACAACTAACAGGCTGACCAGTTCTTTCATTACTTAATTGGTTCTGGCTTATAAGCAGGCATGTTTGTTTTTATCAAGTGTTTACTTATGAATAACTTATTCTTTTATTAATTTATTATGTTTAATAGAGACATGAAAAGCACTTTAAACTTACTCAGATTTAGACTTGTAATAGCCTTAGAAATTACTAGTTACTGCTGTGTTTAGTACTGTTCTTTAATACTTAATTTTTTATAAAAGCTAGCAATAATATTCAACACACAGATGAAAATAAAATTAAAATTGCAGGAGATAAAGGACAGACCTACTACAGCCTCTGCCTCCTAGTCTCAGCAGCATCAGCTGACACTGGGGCTAAGTATCGCTACTCATGACCATAGCATTCAGCTGGGGGAACTGTAGCAGTTCTCTCACGCTGAGTTAGCTCTTCCCAAGCTGATAGCACAGAAATGAGTATCAGTGGAGAATACATCTACGGCATCAGCCACTTCACTCTTTGCCACTTACAACAATGCAGTAAGAGTTTTTGGCAAATGCTGAACACACGCAAACAACTTCAGAAGGGGGCAAACACTCAGATCCCCTTGGCTTTCACAGAACAACTGGGGTGCTTCAGAACAAGTTCATCTGCACAGAAGTGGGCACAAACTTCCTACTACAGTCACAGCCAAAATTATAGGCAGATTTTCCAACCTATGGACTTGATCTCCTTCACTTTGCCCCCTGTTCCCAGTATCTGCCATAACTAGGAGACATTCCCGTGGTGTCCTACTCCCCCTTCCACCACCCTGCAGGCACAGCAGAGGGAGAAGGAAGCCCTGCTGCCTTGAAGATTTGGTACGCAGCCCCACGATGCTCCGAGAGGAGCTCTGAAATTCCTTTTCCTACAGCCACGCTCTCTCTTCTTGGTCCCAAACCCAAGAGCAGGAAACATATGCTGGGACAGAGAGCAAGAGCTAAGGCACATCCCAGCAATCTCGAGGAAGCAGGTGGTTCCTCACAGATCGCTGCCAATTCTCATGTCTTCAAGAAGCCGGCAGCCTGGGTGCAGCAGAGGCATAATCAGTCCCTAAATATCCCAGCCCTTGCTTCTGCACACTGCTCAGCCCACGCACGGCACAGCCTCCGTTCCGCTATGTCTGGTGACACCACAGTAGCGAAGAGGTTGGAGACGCTCACGTTTCCTGTTTTTATTGTTTAGCACGCTTTGGCAGCGATATGCTTAAAAACAACCAACTCGGGTCATTAATCACATCAACAGAGAGCTGGCTAACAATCTGTTTTAACTCAGTTGGCAACTGATGGCTGTCTACATCTCTGGATTTGCGTAGCCCTGACTAGTTTTAATCAGCCGCACAGCCATTAAGCCGTCCGCATTCTCCAAATGAAGGAGGCAAGTTCTGGGAGTTCAGCTGGAGATGTGAATAGCTGCAGTCACTTGCTCTGAGCGCGGCTGCGGAGAAGACTCCGCATCTGTCACTCAGAAGTCGCTGTTTCCTTCGGCATTGCTGCCAGTAAGTGCTCTCTCTGCAGCGCTGTTGAAAAATGAAAGCCAAAGGGGAACAAACACAGGCAAGTGGACATCCAGATATGGTAAAATCTTGGGACCTTGAACACAGTCCAAAAATTTTCCCTTTGCCAACATGAAAGCACATTTTGAGTTAAGGCCAGAAAGCTAAGAGGACAGCTCTGTTCAGTGACCGCATGGTTTAGACATAGCGTGTCTGTCACTCTCCAGATAAACACACCTTAAAAGAAACAAATTAATGAACTATTATAAGCTACTAGTAATAACGAAGACTAAAATAACTATCCAAAATACTAAGTTACTCCACCTTACCAAGAAGGCTGTGCTGCCGGACTGTGACCAAATAGCTCATCTGCTTCCAAACATGAGGCACACAAGCTAGAAATAAACAAGTCCTAGATACGCATCGCTGTCACAGACACCACCCAGTCACTCTGTGGTTCCTCATACACTAAGCTCATTTCTGAGTCTTTATTTTCTTTCCCTTTCTAGGCATCAAGAGACCAAAGGGAAACGATCCAGCCTGCCAGCTCCCACTAGGTACATTAGCACTTGTCCTTTACTCACTCTGTTTCTTACCCTAGTGCCTCCTGGCCATTCTCTCTGTAGAACGAAAACCATCTACATCCTGTGTTGAGCTACTATTTTTTCTGAGAGAACGCTATTCACATGCTTATTCACATCCATTTTCATTATTATATTTATTTAAGCAATGAAGTGCAGATGGGGAGAGACTTAAATGGTCAGCATCTGGACACTGGAAGCTTCACTTCAGCCACTGAGGGCTTCCTAGAGGTAAAATTATCTCATGTACATATGAGCTGGACTTACTATATCCTGACCGTAAGAGAGAAGTGTTTTACTTAAAGTCGCTTTCATCTTTCATGTGTAAAATCCAAGAACTGCATAAGAATAATACTGCTGCTCTGTGACCAGCAAGTATATGACAGGCCATAAAATTCACAGGGTCAGCCTCTGCTTTTATGACCAGTTTCGCAGTCTCACAACATGTTTGAAGGCAAGATGGAAATAGGATGCAAAATAAACACAGAATCCTTGAAAACAAGCATTAATCAGCCAGTCACAGTGGAAGCATGTTTTGAAGTCGCAACAGCAATGCTTCTCATAGTATGAATACAAATGTTTTTGTTGGAGATTAGCTGGGACTTCCGGGGATCTTCAGATTAAAAGAAAACTATGCAAATAATTCCAATTACCATGCAGATACGTAACACGTGCAATAAGCTGTCCCCCTTAAAAACAAGGAAAACTACCCCATTTTAATGTTGCAGCATTGCAAGGATCAGTCACTAAGTAGACAAAAGTAAACTACCAGAACTGTAAATATTTTATAAGAGCATCAGCCAAAAAGAAACAACTGTTAAAAATAAGTTGTAAATTTGCATATAGTTGAGCCACGACCAGAAAAGGCTGCATTCAAAGTCTACCTAGTTTCCTACCATCCTTACGTAATGCCATCATCTGAAGAAATTTCTCAGGTCATCTAAGGTCTTCCAGAATATAACATTAATTTTCAATAAACACCTCTGCTAAAGTTAGCTCTTCAAACCTTGACAAGACAGCACGCTTTTCTCCAGTTTCTAGGCCACAAAGAGCAAGCTGCCTTCCCATGAGCTCTGCGTTGTCATTATTTGCCCAAGGAGAGTTCCCAGGCTCTGTCCCCATCCCTGGCATGGCCACCACCCGCAGCTCCCTCCTGCTCACCAGACACACAACATGCACCAGCAGCCCTCTTCAGCCCTGAAAACTCTAGGTGTGGGGAGCATAAACGTGTCCTATCAATCCCTTATGTTCCTTCTTCCCACCTGAACGGTCAGTGCTAAGGGCATGCAGTCTCCAGAGGGCTCCCCCAAATTTCCAAGAGGCTGTGCCATGTGCTTATGCCAGCCCAGGCAGAGGTACAGCTTCTCAGGCAGGCTGGGTAGCTCTGGCTTGGCACCAACTAACCATGTCTTAAATCCTATATCTTCTGCTACCAACTCACCAGAAATTGGGCAGACACATTCCACAGCAGTCAGCAGAACACGCAGCCAGAGAATTTCTGTGCTTACAACAAGAGCAATTTCTTAGAAACCGTCTGAAACTCAGTGCTATATGGTTTAACTCATTTCAGGTGCTCATCAGCACAGGTGATAGCAATACAGCACTTGAGTCTTCTCTCAAGCACAGAGGAACAGGCTTGGCTTGCCTTTATTGCCTTTGCCATAAGCACTCTAAGAGAACAACTTACATAGCTGGGAAGTTAATGGAAACGTTGAATTAAGTGATATTACTGAATATTCTCAGAAATGAGAACTGAATTAGCAAGTGCTAATCTCTGAACTGAAACCCCAGTTGTACCAGAAGCTGTGCTCATCAGCGGAAGGAACAGCTACATCGCTCAGACCCTACGCATCCAGCCAGCCTGAAGGTCAGATGCTAAGTACATTTTGCTCATTAGCAGTCATTTGAAGAAATTGTCCATCTAATAATTTGAAAATGTACACACTTGATTCTCGGTAATAGCTGATGTTCAGTTCTTAAAAAGGGAAGCAAGCTGAATTCACTCAAAAGCAACAGCCTGGAGTGACTTATGAGCATACAGGAGGCCTGCAGGTGCTCAGAAGATTTAGCAACCAAGCAGGGGGTTGCAGGGCCCACAGGTGCAAGCAGTATTTGTTTCCAATATTATCTTTAGAAACTCGTGCCTCATAACCATGCATGTTTGCTCAGGAAAATGGGCAGACAACGCTACAGGTTTAAGCATTATCACACTGGCAAAAGGAGGTACCACCTCCGCATTCATGAAGTTTGCTAGGAAAAGTCTTCTTGTTTTTCAGAAGCACCCCATGAAGGACTTCACTGGGTCTGCTTGAGAACCTGGCAGCAGTAAACCAGCCCAACAGGGCCAACGTCTGAAGGCAATGAACAAGTCAATTAAATCCAGGAGCATTTTAGGTCATCCCTAAAACAACCAGGCCCACCTCAAGGTCCTGCCCACCCATAGCTAAGTTCACTGCCAGTGAGGTCTGGAGCCCTTCTAGCTGTACAAATGGCATCTTGAAACACCTGACACTGCACTTACAATGGGACAGCCTCATAAATCTGCTCACTTCATACTTTGCTAGTAAGTGCTGTGTTGTGAGCATTTGCTTCTGAGCAAGTGAAATATCAAAGATAAAGTATTATCTTAAAATGTTACACTGAAGTCTTACATCCATGTAAGATCAGGATCCACGCTTTGTTTTGTTTCTGAAATGCATGCTGTTGTGTGCCCACAGCTCACATGAGAGGCAGTAACAGGGTTAATACAGGATTTGCAGTGCTATAGGAGAAACCCCAATATGAGAACCTTGTATGTTGAGTGCTTACGTTTCTGCTTACATGTTGCCTTAACACTATGGTGGGTGGGTTGTTGTTGTTTGTTTTGTAATTTATTATCCTCTCACCTTCAAATCTTCCTAGCTCTTACCGTATCTCACTACAAATCCCCAGATGCAGGAGAGCAGATAGCGTTCCTCCAGAAACCAATCTGTCTTCCCCCCCGCCCCCGATAGTAATGCCACAGCAAACACCACTTTGACACAGGCTGAGTACAAGTTATTTAACATCACCCATGGTAGAAGACGACAATGAACTATAAATGAATTTGATCCCTTCACACCTTCTTTCCTTTATCCTCCTCTGCACTGAAGCTAATACCCAGAGCTGCATGTAAAAATCACTTGGCAGCTGAATGGCTCAAGCTGCCAAGTTTGGGAATTATTCTTTCCCATCTCGGCAACAGTAGCAGGAATACTATCGTGTTTTCTGTCCGTTTCTGGCTATCCCACTGAGAATCGCTGCATTCAGTTGTCTGTGGATGCTTGATGTGCTTCTAGCAGAGAGGAAAAAAAAAAAAAAAAAGCAAATCTACTCCAACAGTTTTCCTGTAACTGGAAAAAAAATAATAATATTGTCTTGCTACAGGTTAAATTTAAATGTTAATTAGAGCATATGAAAGACAACTGTCCTATGTTTTAATCCACATCAGCAGCCACAATACTAAGCAGGCTGTAAGCACTGCTTCTGTAGCTGTGGAGACGCTCAGCAAGGCGTCATCCTCGTTTGCACCACGGATACTTCTGAAACTGGATCCCAGTCTCATTTCTACCAAGTGCCATCAGTTTATATCTCATCAGACAATTTTCTTAGAAAATAAGCATGCTGGACTGATTTTCTACAGCTCCACACACATTTTACTTTTTATGGCATTCACACCAGTTCTTGCCCTGCACTATACATGACTAAGTTACAGGTTAGAAGTTGCACTTCATTTTAATTCCCATCCAGGGAAATTAAAGAGGAGGTCCCAGGGCTCGGTCAGTCACTGCAGTCAGGTGAGGGATGCTGACAGCCACGAGCAAAAAGCAGAATCTGGTTGAAGGTGCAGGGCTGAGAAGATGCTGCCACCCTCCTCCCCCCACTCATCCTCCAAACCAAACCAAAGCCAAGCCTGTGGCACCCGAGCCCAGAGCCTCCTAATAGTGCTCACACAAATCACAGACAGGAGGTTTGGCAGATGTAGCTCTAAAAGCCATTACTCGTGTGCTACAGGACATTCACAGCCATAGGCTAAATCCAGTTGAGAGCATGGAAAATCCTCTATTTCATTAAGCCGTGAGGCAGCACTGGGCAGAACGCGAGTCTGCTACGGTTGTCACTGCAGGAAAGCAGGGAGTAGCACTACCCCAAAACAGTCATTTTATGGACAGGACTAAATCCATTTGTTGTAGTGGCGTTTCTTGGAATTAGGCACTGCAAGGAACTGACAGAAATTAAAAGAAATACCGCAGGAATTACTTCTTAGCAATTAAAGTGCTAGAAAGAGGCACAGAGTAATATTTTCCCCCAAATATTTACTCTTCACGCCTTTTTCCTTGGTTTCAGTTTTGTTTATTTTCATTCCAATGTAATAGATGAAATATTTTACTTTGCAGTATAAACAATGTATTAGATACATCAAATGCTGCACTAAGTGGGCCAAAACAACTTGGAGATAACATGCATTCCTCACTGCTACTATTATGATCTTCGTATGACAGCACAATCTCGCAGTTCACAACGTAGTGCTGAGATTTCCCAGCTAGCCGGAGGGATAAAAGCAAACCTGAGTCTTCCCATTCATTATGGCACCCAAACAATTTGATTTAATCCCGACTGGACCATTCATTCCCAAGGGATCGACAACAATATCACATACATCTCTACAATCTGTCTTCTGCCTGTGTGGCAGCTAGGCAGTTCATTCAAGAAATGCAGCTTTAATTGAGTCCATCAGATATAAAAAGCAATTTTCACAATAACAACCAATTACTCAAGTCAGCTTCTCACAGACCAACGTTAACCTTAAATTTCTTGCCTTTGAAGCAACTGCATACCTAAGACTCATAAGCCCCTACCATCGATCTGAAAACTGAATTTCTTTAATCTAACAGGGCATTTAATAAGAATATCATTGACAAATTAATGGCAGTGTGACAGATGCTTTCCATGGCAAATACACAATAAAGCTTTGTGTATACGAGATGCAGAATTCAAAGCCCATAACATACTTTTCAAGAATGATTTTACACTGCCCTTGCAGCTACAGTGTCTGCGTAAAATTGAAAGGAAAAAATGTCTTGACAAATCAGAATAAGATTGCATGTGTTTAGTGCACCTAAAAGTGGTAGCTAAAGTTGTCATCACAGTTGGCAACGTCTCAACGGCAATTCTAGATTAATGGTTAACGTGCTACTCACCTCTTGAGCTCTGTGGAATGGGAATTTCATTGTGTATCTACATGAGCAACACGCACCAGACAGTAGAAAGCAGAAAGCCTGCAGTCTAGTTCCTTTATCACACTGCTTTTCCGTGTTACAGAGACAACAGCACTAACTGGAATATGGATACCAGAGGGGAAAAAGAGTGCACTGTGTCTGTAAATAAACAGGAACAGTTCAATATTTCTAATTAAGCAGAGATCAGAAATGCCATAAGCTAACAGAATTGCCTTTGGCAGGAGCTTATTTAACCACATTTCAGAAGTGTTCCTGAAATTCATCTGATGATCACTTACTGCTAGTACCTTCTGAAAGCTGTGGCATACCCAGCCCTCTAGACAAGAAGATTCACGCTGACATCACAAGAGATTGAAACTTAATTGAACAGCTCAGCTTTCCTTAATTGTATAACGCTCATTAATTGGCTGAGTTGGCTGACTGGCTCTGCTTTCTGTCATTTTAGCCAACGACAAACAGAAAGGAAAAGTTGTAGTTCAGGCTACTGACAAATTAACTCAAGTCTTAAGACCTTCCACACGCTACTTCAGCGAGAAGAACACGTCTTCCATAGACATACAGTAAGGCTAAGCAATTTGCATCATGTCATGAGATGATCTTTTAAGTTGTGAGCATCAGGAAGCAAAACAAGAGGAACAAATTTCAATGTACAAAACCATTCGTATACCATGTCACGTCATGTATGTCATGCAAGGGATGTTAAAACCGGCATTAATTTTACCAAAGTCTGTGGATACAAGCTCCTTTTTTCCAGTGATCTCAACCCTTGCAAGTACAGAAGTAACATTTTATTCCAGTTTAAGGACGGAGCTCTGCACGACTCAGAAGCCTGCCACTTCTCAGAACGATGCCAATACAGAAGGAATGTAATCAGACACTATTAGGAAGGATACTTGTGGGAGGCGAACCTAGCAGTGCTGTGTGCGCATCTTTTGACTTCTTCCCTCCAAAACTGGTAATGTAGAAGCTATCAGACAATCTACATAATTTGCATATCAACATATCTTACTGTTATGAATAGCATAGGTGTGTATCAAGGCAAAGTATCCACAAAACAGTGACCCACATTTTTTTGAGCTGCTTTTGCTAGAACAGGAAAGAAGTAAATTATGGCTTAGAAGTGTCAGGCAGCCTGGGAAATGGATGGAAGAAAAAAAAGTGTGAGAGATTATCTTTCTGAATATAAAGTGCTATACTTTAAGGCTTATTGAGATTAATCTGTGTCCCAAGTGAAAGAATAGATGTTAGAAACCTCAAACACCAACTGAAGCTCAGGTGTAGACTGGCCTACAGAGAGAGTATCTGTGACAGCTAGGAGACAAACTGGTAAGTTAAGATGCAGTAATATCCTCCACCCTACTCAGATAGTCACTGAAATACTCCGCATCTGTTCC